GCTTACGACTTGCCTATTTCGGGGTTGTCCTCCTTTCTCGGTGATATCGAAAGACTCCGGCACTTCATTGTCATGTAGGTTTGACTCCTTAGAGTTCCCATCGTGTTCACCGATAATCAGAGGAAGGACTAACATTTTCAAAACTTCAGAGAATATGCCTAAAGGTTGAATCTAAAGAAGAATCTAAAGGTAACCTTTCTTTTCTTTTTTTTTGGTTTTGGGGAGGGGGGTGTTTAAAAATGGAAAAAGCTAAGGACCTTAATTCGAATCAACTTAAGAAGTTTGTTACTTCGCTAGCCTCTCCTTGCCCTTCAGGATTTCACTTAATGGTTTTGGATCCTGGAAGTCTGCTGATGCAGTTCCGATAGAATGCCTCGGTTTCCCACCGTTTTCTTCAGTTTTCCTCTTCTCTTCTCTAATCTGAGCAAGGGTCTTGGGACCTGTAAAAGCAGTAGATGCATCTTTGGATTTCCTCTCCCATGAAATCAGATTTCTAGAAACCTCAGATTGAACAGATTCCCGTCTAGGTAGTCTTTTTTCCCTATAAGGCCGGCCGATGGAGCGATTAGGCTCCATGTGTTTGAGCCACTCGCGTCGGTTGGTACTGTTGCGAAAAACACCTTGGCCTCCGTCAATTTGATAGAGTGCTTCCCCACTGTTGAAGCCAATTTTCCGCTTGATTTCCATCCCATACTATGCCTTTGCAGCCTTTCCAGACTTCGGTTGATCAGATGAGGATATTCAGGCCTTGACAAACACTTAAGAGGATTGCCCTCGACTACCCTGCGTTCACTCAAATAGTCTCTAAGATCCACGTCAATTGACAGTTGAACAGGCAAGAGTCTTCTTCTCTCTTGGGAAAATATGGAACCCAACCTTCTATCTCTTGGTTGGTCAGATGGATTCCTCACATTATCAAAAATATACTCATTGTCTGAACCCTCATAAACATCATAAGCATCTTGATCATACGGAAATTCTACATCAGGGTACCTAGTGTCATGCTGAATTGAATCTTCAGAATCATAACTAAAGTACCCTCTCTGCTCCCCTTCAGGATCCAGCGGATATTCTGAATCATTCTCATAATCCAAATCATCTGATTTGTTATCCACAAGAACATCGAAACCTGGGGACGACTCCCACCTCTCCTCAGGCTCCTCTCGCTCAATGTCATCATCCAATTGCTCCTCCGAACTTTCATCAGTGCGAGTCGGAGATCTGATTTGAGTAATGCCTTCTTGTAGAAGCAAGGATTGTGACCTAACAAAATCAACTTGTCCTAATCCAAAAACAGATGTTTTTGGAGAGATTCTCTTCTTTATCATGGCCACTGATTGTTGGACGTCCACTTCAAGCTGCACACCATTGTCCTTGCTAGAATTTGGTGCAGTTTTAGAATCAGTTTTAAGCTGCGCACCAGTTTTAGATTTTGGGGCAGTGTCTGTCTGAGCTGCCTCGCCTTCATATTCCATGGATGTTTTACAGTCCAAAGGAAGAGCACCGGTCTTCAAAGAATTTTGAGTGATGGCGCCGTCACTGGACCATGCAGAAAAGTGCACCTATCACCTTTATTGCAGAAACCGTTGAAGTAAAAATAACAAGACCAATTTGTCTTGTTCGCAGCTGCCGCACTTTGATATGACAATCTAATAGGTTCAGATGGAACTTGAACATGTATATCCAATTGCTGCGAAAACAGTAAAGAGTTTTAGTTCATAGGAATACAACATACAACTAAACAATAACTATAATAAATGAAGAATATCAATTATTAACTCATTCAAAAGGATGAGTTAATAAATAAAGTGAAAGAGGTTCAGTCATAGTTACTCCAAAAGCTAAGGCGTTAAATGGATTATTTAAGATAGACATTAGATGTCAAATACAACATTACCAGTTGCCAATATATTAATCACATACCTTTTTAACATATAATTGTTTCTAATATTCCATGTTTAATGTTCCTCAATAGCCAAACATGATGAGAATCTAAAGCAGATAGTAGAACTAAAATCATAATTCTTGTAAATTAATGGCATGTCAACAATAAAAGACATTGTAAAACATAGAGGACACTACAACAAATATATATATATATATATATATGTCATAAATGAAAGTGCAAATGTGTAATGACCGGGCATCATATCAAGCAGCTGCTCCAAATATACTACCCTGTCATGATGCTTTTCGAATTGTGTGCATGCAGAATTGTGTTCTAAAGCTATAATTCAATACAAATTCAACTGTAAATTTTTTAAAACATGTAAAAAAAATCCAATTCGTTCACGATATATCAATCTCATAATGAACATGAACTTATTAGAAAGAATACGAGCTCACAGGATGTTGAAAATCACAGGTCGGATTAATACAATTCCCAGCAAACTAGTACCAACAGTCCCTCGAATAGATCCTGACGATTTTACTATGTCGATACTCACAACCAATTCTCTGATTAAAAAAACCCAAACAAGAAGATAAAAAATAGCTTAGGACCCTCTTTCACCTCTATTCTGATGAACTGAATATCTTTCAGAATGAACACTAAAAGTTTTGATTAAGAAGAAAGAAAGAAAAATAGATATTTTGGTTCAAAATTAACACTGAATACCCAAATCCATGTCATGCAGTTCCAGAAACATAAAAATTCCAACAAAAAACACACAATCGAACTAAAAATGGGAAAGTGCGAAAGAGAAAAAACTTACTTCCGGAGAGCCCAAAAGAGATAATAAAGACCTTATTGCAAGTGAGAGGCTATTTCAACAATTCTTCCTCCATTTTTTCTTTGTAAATAAAAGCTAAAAGATAGAGCACTGCTTATGTTTACAATTTTACATAGCGGAAAACTGAAGAACAAAAATCAAACGAGAGTGGATGTGAGTGAAAGAGACAAAGAGGTGAAGGCGTTGTTTGAGATTTCATTATATTTGATTATATGTATTATTCTCCAAAAGCTCGTCCATATGAGAATATACATGTCGAATTCTAATAATAAAACATTTTCAACTTTAAATATAAAAATGTATAAAAATACTTTCAATATATTAATTCAAAAAAATGGTAAGCCATCAAACTATCAGTGTTTTCTATTTTAGTCTTCAACCGCGTTCGATAAAATCGTAATTGTCGATAAAAATAAATAGATTGCATTGATTATAGGCGCTTTATCTCTTCTAATTTGAGTATAAAATATAGTTAGTAGTGATATTACGGTTGACTCGTGTTTTAATAATGAAAAGATGAAGGATAACGAATCTAAAAGGAGAATAATATTTATTTTTCGATCTTGATTAAGAGATTTTATAATGACCCTTATGAGCATTTAGTTCATGGAATGTAGCATTATCTCTGAGAATATGATTATCATAATGTAACATTACCTGATACATTATTGGGAATGTTATATTACTATGTTTGGTTTGTGTGGTAGAAATGTAAGATTACAGTGTTTGGTTGAAGGAATAAGAGATTTCTGAAATGTAAATTTTACCAAATTATCCTTATATATTTATATAAAAATTCATAGAAAATATTTTATTTTATTATTTTTAATTTATATATTTTCAATAAAATTAAAATTCATAAAATTTATATATAATTTTTTTTTATAAAATTTAAAAGATAAATGGGTAGAATAAAAGAGTATATGTATAATATATTATTTTAATTTTAATTAATATTAATTTTTACATTATTTATCTAAAAATATATTAAAATTTTACATCAACATTTAACTAAATAATAATATGAAAATTTTAATAGATAAACCATTTTACTCCTACCAAAATGTACATTTATTACTTTTATTATTTTTTATAGAATATTTTTAATTTTTTTTAATTAGAAATATACTATTATTAAAAAATAATCAGACTTTTTTAAAGATTGAAAAAAAAACTAAACTTTCTTTCTAGAATGAAGCTAAGTCACATGGAGAAGATGATAAAGAACAAAGGGGAGGCAGTTTTTAAATAATTATATTGTTTTAAGGGTATTTTAGTCCAAACTCAAAAGAATAAATAAATACTTATGCATTATGTGGGAATGACATTCCCAATAAAACACCCTTAAAAAGATACTGTTGGGAATGAGTTAATATTCCCAATATTGAATATTTCTCATCCAAACATGGATATTAAATTATAGAAAAAAGTTTTTCTCCAATAATCATCATTTCCTCCATCCAAACACCCCCTTAATGTTAATATCAGATTTAGAGTCATGATGACTACTAGTAAGTTGACATGACGAATAGACTTAATTGATGTGATCAGACTTAAAATCATTTTATAATATCTCCATACATCCGTTGCATCAAAATCTTTGAAGAATTCCTCTACAATTGAGGTCTCAAAAGAAAAACTTTAAACATATAGTTTTTAGAGTCTTGTGTCCCTCGAGATGTCATGATCTTTTGACATAATATCTGATATATCAGTATAATTTTTTAGAGTTAAAATTAATTAACAATTGATGGCATCAATCAAATATGTTCATTTTGTCAACCAACAAGTAATCAACGTGATCTTAAATTGACATCAACATTAAGAGTCATTATAATCTTAAATTGATAACATTAAGAATTATTATAAAATCGTTTAATCAAGATAAATAGAGGAATATTCTCCTTTTAAATCAATTTATTTCATCTTGTCGAAAAGCTCTTCTTTTTTTATCACTCTTACTATTTTCGATCTTGCAACCAAAACATCAAAAAAAAAATTCATTTCATCAAACAAATTGGTTGACGATTCCAATATGAGACACGAACATAACAAATAAACGAAGTAACGAACGCAGCAAATTGACGGACATAATTCCGATGAAATAACAGTTTGAACAATACCTTCAAGTTTTCAATCAATCCTAAACTGAATAATCAACGTTTAACTCATGTTTATGAGATTTATAACTATCATTTTTTTATCTCTTTCTCCAGGAAAAAAGAAGAAGCAAACCATCAGCCTTAACTACTACAAAAATTTCTGGGGATTTTGAGAGATCTTTTCCTTGGCAAACCTTTCCTTTTTTCTTTGAGTTTCAATAAAATGAAAATGGGGAAAGCCTCAAATTCCAGCAATGGTGAGAGCAGTAGCAATGGAACCAAAGTGGTTTTGCATGTTTATGATCTTACACACATCAATAATTACTCTTATCGGTTTGGTTTAGGGATTTTCCATTCCGGCATTGAAGGTTTGTTCCCGTTTCTGAATTATGGATGGAACTTCAGTTCTTTGATGTTTACTTAATATCTTTTCCCATGCATTTGTTCTTAAGTTTTGAAAATATTTTCATCGGGATTGTATATGTTGATGAATTTATAACATCTTTAATTTTGAAATTCTTCAGTTTTCATTTCAATCATTATGTATACAGTTCATGGCAAAGAGTATGATTTCGGGGCTCATGAATTTCCGGCCACCGGAGTTTTCGAAGTGGAACCGAAGAACTGCCCCGGTTTCGCCTACCGGTGTTCAATCTCATTGGGAAGCATAAACATGTCGTTGACAGAATTCACAACGTTCATCGAGAAAATGGCTTCCCAGTATTATGGAAATAGCTACCACCTCATCTCCAAGAACTGTAATCACTTCACAGACGACGTTGTTCATAAATTGACAAGCAAACACATCCCCGGGTGGGTGAACCGACTGGCTCGGCTAGGTTTGTCTATCCTTCTAACTCTTTACCAAATTCTATATACGCACATATGTATGCATGCAGACACATTTGAAATCATTAAGTTCATGATTTGTCAAAATTGTAGGTTCTTTATTCAGCTGCATACTTCCGGAAAGCCTTCAAGCAACTAGAGTAAAGAAGGTCGAGGAAGTCGGTATGCTTCCTGTTCTTTGATTTTTACTTTTACGGTTTAGAGTTCAGGGTTTTAGATTATTCTGACACTATGCACGTATTATGATATTTTTTTCCCCAGAAGATGAAACCGATACTCCGCTACCTGCCACCGCCACCGATTCATCTAAAACCAACGATAAGGAAGAAAAGAAGCTGTTGCTGTCCTCAAAAGCCGGAAATTCGGATATAAATTTTGTTAAAGAAGCCCAAAGTGAATGCAAGGAGCCTTAAAAAAAGGGATATTTCCTTCACCAAGAATGCTTTGAAAGGGATCACCAAACTAGAAATAGCTGAACACTGCTTCGAAAGCAGTGGCGGAGCAAAGCTTTGGATTGGGGGCAGTCCGCGGTAGTCCCCTTCGCCCATCCCTTTTGTTAAAATTATACAAAGATGTAACTGGGATATTTATCCGGGGGCAGTTGTCCCATTTCCCAATTCCTTTTATTAAAATTTATACAAAGATATAATTGGGATATTTATCCTTTGGACCCCTCAATTTCAATTCATTTCGATTTTAGCATCATTTATTGTTGTTGATTATACTTTACCCCATAAACTGTATTCTGGTTGCATCCCTGCTCCGAAAGAAGCACCAAACTAGTAGTAGAACATACATTCTTTGGTTTTCATTTGAATGTTTGTGGTATTTTATCTGTTCCAAATATTTTCTTTCTCAATTTTTGAGAAGGTTCCAAGAGCTCCTTGAAAACATTATTATAAGATATTTCGAAAATATAATATTATGCAGTTGTTAAAGGTATCAACAGAATAATCAAAAGATCCTCACCATACTTTATTTTTAAAATATATAAAAATATTAGCATTTTAAATTATATTTTTTAATTTGAGATAGAAAAAAATACAAGCTCGACCTCAAAATAATCCAGTGATAAGGTCATCCTCCTCAAACGTGGTTTCCTTTTGTCACAAACTCAATATTTGGTTGATCAGGTGAACGTACATGTGTCTTCAAGGTTGATAGGGTTTATTTTGTCGGTATTATTTATACCTACATTAATCATATGCATATTGTTTTTACAAACATGTTTTAGGAAGCAAAAGACAAGTGGATTCCTGTGCTGCTCTGGACCACTGTTTTAAGTCTGTTTCTTTCTTTATCAGCGCTTTCTTAATCTTATAACTATTTTCCTTGTACCATTATATATTATATACAAAGGTAGATATTTAATCCGAGTTTAATAAATTTTAATTTGAATAAATTATTTTTGTTTCTGAAAATTTAAAGCTTGAATCAATTTGATTTCAAGGTAAAGCGATCTTTTGATCTAAGATAATATTATAATTATTTTTTATATATTTAAAAATGATTACAATAATATTTATTTTATATTAATAAAAAAATTATATATATGTTTGAATCAGATTAAATTAAGTACGAGTTTTCACCTTGAATTTTAAGTGAAATGAATCCTTCTAAACTCAATTTGAATATATAAACAAAGAAATTTAATTTTAAGATCAATTCAAAATTTCAAATGGACAAAAATCTAACTTGTCACGTGACCTTCAATCTAAGCATAATGGTTTCAACACTCTGCACATTGATTTCTCGATATAGCATATTCGGCAACTTGGAGAATCTCATGTCCTTGAGTATTATTTTAAAGGTAAACTATACAAATGATCACTAATGTTTTAGTATTTTTTTTATTTTTTTAATTAAAGTCTCAAAAATTACAAATCAATCACTAACGTTATCGATTTATTTGGTCACTCAACCTTAACCGCCGTTAACATGCGTGACAGAATGCACATATGAACCATTTAAAGCTTACCTGAATTGGGTTGATGATGCTAATAATAATAATGTTACAGCACAGTGCAAGCATACACTATCGTATCAAAGTAATAAAGTGAAAGTTGTTAAACTTCGGATGTCGAACCCACAAAGAGCTAAAAGTTTACAAAAGATTTTGTGTAAAAGAATAATAGAAATTTGATTGTGATGAGTGAAGACAAAGTCAACATAAAGATAATGAAATAATAATGATAAATGTCAAGCAGTGCTACAACATTCAGGAGAGCAATAGATCAAATATTAAATAGATGTGAATACTATTTGACTATTTCTACTCATCATATACTCAAGATAGTGTATTCATGTGTCTCACAAAGATTAACAAAATTCAATTAACAAGAATCATTCTTTCACTAATTCACTTAATCAAATAGTTAACAATGCTGGACAATGGGCAACATATATTTCTATACCCAACATTACTATTCACAATCACCAAAGCTGCACAAAAGTAGTATGAAAAATCCATAAAATTCATCTCCAAAAATTATAGGAATCACATACATAAAGACAACTTCATCTTTAAAATTATCTCATAAGTACAACAACACATAAAAACAAAGTTTTAATATAAACCATAGTACAAAAATTTAATCCAGGCACCTTATATTCAAGAATCAATATCATCCGAAATATAATAATATTCAACTAAACAACCATCATTCCCCTATCTCTAAAAAAAGATAGAAAATAAAGTTGAATCCTCTTGATTGCCGCTTCTACACGGCGTCACTCCCTTGCTGCTGCTGCACTCCCCGACAGTGGGTTTTAGGCTGTGGAAAAAAATTAGGTTCCAATAGATTAAGAAAATATTGTATTTATAGCCTCATGGTCAAACTTTCCACCAATAGAAAAGTAGAAAATTTTCCTTTTTTCTTCTTCTAAATTTCCTTTTATTTAAAATTCAAATTCAGCCTTATCTTCAGCAAATAAAATTCAAATTCCAGCCTTATCTTCAGTAGCTAATCAAATTCAAATTTTACCCTTATCTTTAATAGCTATCCACTCCTAAAATCTCTCTATTTGTCTGGTGACGCATCGAATGCTACAACAACAACTCAATAATTCTATCTCGTATCAGCTCACAACAACACCTACAACATCAGATAAAGTCACAACATCATAGTAGTAAATTCACAACAAAATCATCAAAATAAGCCTGAGTATCAACAATCTCTCCCAATATGCAAATAATGTAAAATATGCTAAAATTATTATAAATGTGATCCTAAACATACTAAATTTCAAGCTTAACCTAAGTAAAAAGGCTCTACATAATAACTTTTTTAGATAGTTGTCAGTTGACTGCTACGTGGGAGACCCAAATGTCTTCAACTGACACCTCTCTACCTTTAAATAAAAAACTCAATCCTTAAGTTTAATTTAAGATTTTTTTTATTCATATCTCGTGTTTAAAAATTGTCAAAAAATTATAAGAAAATTCCCAATAAGGTGAAGATAGAAGACTCCATGGATGTTCCACTATGCAATTGTGAATATCCAGCTAAGGTGAACACCACTTGGTCGATTGAAAACTGTGGGGAGAGGTTCTTTGGACCCAAGGATCCGTGATCATCCCCTTCTAATTTCATTCCTCCACCACAGGTAAATAAGTAAAAGTCTTCTAACTCATCCCCTTTATTGGCAAGCGTATTAAGTCTCAATTCCAGAGAAGAGATCCTCTTCATCAGGGAGAAGATTTCTAATAGTCTGTGCCTCAATTTCTTTCATAGATTTGTGAGGTTCCTTTTCATGGTGTAAAGCGGCTTTACTAGCATGTTGATAAGATAGATCATTCCCCACTAGTCTTACTGCATAAAGATAAAAGCAAAGTAAACCGCATATGAAAATTTATCAATCGTACAGTAATTAGAAAAAGCTACGAATAACCAGGTAAAAAGAAGAAAATAGTGCATAGTGAAAAAATACTTCGAATTCATCCGATTGAAAATTGCCTTAGTAAATAGGAAGTACGGAAATATATATGTGAACAGATCAAGACAATGGATGAAGTTAACATGATTCTTATTAAAACAACCTCATACTTTCTTTGAGAGTTATGTTTATGGTGGGAAACAATTAAAGCCATGAAATATAATGGCAATGAAAGCATCAATACTAGAGAAGTAGGGAAGAAACACCGCATACATGGAATGCAAGTATGTACATGTTGAAAACTACCATACTGTTTGCTATACATAGATAATAATACTTACATTTTCTACTAAATATTTCATACAACGAACTTGAAAATAAACCACTTTCATGGTGGATCACGTTGGCATTACTGTTGTATGTATTAAAGTTCACCACTGGTGCACATGCATATTTGACGGTGCTTTTGGATGATGATTCACTTAATTCTATGAAGGCTCAAATAAGTTGTTAATTCCATTCCAATTGCTGTTGAATTTTCCTTCTTTCCATCTCTAGTCAGATTTGATGGAGAAGAATGAACCCTCTTGTCTGCAAAGATCAGAAGCTTTTTCAAAGATAGGGAGATAACCATGAACAAATTTTGCACAGAACATAGCTTATAATATTTTCATTCAAAAGATCTGAGATTTCTAGGTAATACGTTAAAAGTGAACTATTCCACTTATCTTTGTAAGGCATATACATTTGTAAGAACAAAAAATTATGAATGATTTCCAAATACTCATATGTGACACCAACAAAAATATCTGTAGTCACATATGATGAACTCATTAGATAACAATAGATAACAAAACTTTCGACATAGATAACAAATTCTCCAATGACAATTTAGTGCTTCAGTCATGTAAGGTACATCAATAGTCGAGCTTTCATTAAGAATAATTCAAGCAAATTTACGCATAATAATTTAAGTAAATTTATGCATTCTTTTGACGAATGCCCCAAAGAAGATACCTCACATTTCCATGGTACAACTTGAATTGTAAATTTAATCATAAATATGCTTAGCCCTTTCTTGTTGAATTGTAAATACATTTCCATGATATGTTATTTCTTTTATTAAACTATTGATTTATAATTTTTTAACAATTTAAACAAAAGAGATATAAATGAAAAAACATTTAATCCCCAAATGTGAAGAGTTGAAGACATTTGAATTTCAAACGTGACCAAGTAAGTTTTAAACAATCCAACTATGCATTCTGTCACGCATATTAACGACGCATATTAACGGCGGTTAATGTTAAATGACCAATTTATAATAAATTGATAATATTAGTGAAATATTTGGAACTTTGAAACTTTAATGGGTAAAATGATAATTTATCCAAATATTAATAACTATTTGTATGGCTTACCTTTATTTTGATAAAAACATCATCGTTATCTTTTTCATTTTCGATAAATTGTTTTGTTTAATATGTTAAGTTCAAACTTTAAATCAAATGCTAATACATAATAGTTTGAAGATAGTTTTATATACATCAACGTTTAATTATTACAATTTGGCATCAGTATCTTACATTGACATCTTGATCCAAAGAGAAAAAAAAACCATCGACATCAAGAATATTATTATATTTTCTAACCTAGAAATGAAAGAAAAATATCAAATATAGTCCTGAATCGCCGGCGAATCATAGATCGGAACGATCTTTGAAATCGGAAGCGAGTCTAGAAGCGATAGCTGAATGGTACATAGCGTCGTGAAACGACTTGGTGTTCGTAGTCATCATACGGAGCTGCCTTGCCTTCTCCTCCGTGAAGCTTCCCGAGGTAAACTTCGATCTCGCCGGCTTTTGTGCCGTTTCCGATTCGAGTTCCCTTTTCACTTTGACATCAGTTTTGCCATCGGAGTCAAAGTAATCGGGCTCGGAGGACCATCCGAAAAGGGGGGTCCACCAGCTGGCGGATGAAGATGGGGGAGCACTACTTTTCCGGCTGTTGGGATCCTGTTTCGCCCGACCGGGAATACCACTGGCGTAGATCCCGGCGAGACGAAAAGAGAGGAGATTAGTAGCCATTGCAATGATTGATTTGAAGGGATTATAGAGATAAGACTTAGGGTTTGTGGAATTCTGGGGAAAAAGTGAAAATGGAGATGGAAGAATTTATAGAATGGTTGCCCACTGATGCAAGAAAGATAAAAGAAAAGGGAAAAGATAACCGGAAGGTGCGTTAACGGATAAGATAGACACGTGGAGGTGACACGTCTGGTACTTTTTTCTTTTTTACCGAATACTCCGGTCATTGGGTCTGGATCCATGGGCCAATGTTCATCGCTACAGTGTTGGATATCTGCAGGCCAATTTCTACTCCTTTGATTCGTATTATTTCTGGGAATATAATATAAAGGTAAGAAAACCAAAGGCGACTTTTAATTTATTGGGCCATTAATGTTAACTTGTAGTGCAGGAGACAAATTTGAACATGTGAAAATCTTTTAATGTTGGAAGCATTCAATCAAAGAGCGTTACCAACGCGTAGTCAATTCGCATGGCAATGACATTCGTTAATCTCTCCAGTGGTCCTGCTGCCCCTGTCCTTATCGGGTTAGCAGTCGACTCCGTCCTTTTGTTACCACAAATTGGCCGTCTTTAAACAGTTGACAACAAGACGGGCACCGCGTTTGGACTGTCGTCGAGAACTCAGGACTTGCTTGCATTCACGAGTATCCTTCTGGTTCCATGGCCTCCCCTGGTTCATGGTTTGTGTTTCAAACTCTCAATCCAGTCGCATGTTATATGAACAAGTAATTCCGATAATAAGAATGCAAATATGTACGTGTTGGGTGAGCCCCCCAACATCGGTGTTAATTTTGGACGGGTTTATTTGCGGTCAGATAAATTACTTGGCTAAATTATTGTAAGATCATGATTGAGTTGGATTATTAGACCTTTCTGCTTTTAGTTACCCTGTAGATGGAACTTGACTATGGTCAGGTCACTTTGTAAGTAGCTATAATATTCAACTTTTCATCTATAAAAATGATAGTCTTAATTAGAAAAGGAAAAATGGGCTGGAAATCGTGATGAGACCGAAACTCCAGAAAGGGCTTGCTCAACATCCACCGCAATTACTGAGCAATACAACTACGAATGACATTAGAATGTGAACATCATGCAGGTTAATGATGGCTACATGAGTTGTTTTAAATGTTGTAATTTACCTGGAAGCAAATTCGATAATACCTCTTCACTCATTGCAGACACCACATTCTGATAAACATAGGTTCTTAAATTTATGCCTAATTAATGAGTTAGGAATTAATATTCATCTCAATTCGTTTAAGTTCTGCTGCATGTATCAAATGTGAAGATGGATGAATCAGCCAAAGCTTATCAACCATGGCTAATTCTATCGAGAAATGCGACCAAAAGAATCCGATCATGTTATGCTAAAATTGAAAAGAAATATAAACCACATCCATGTTTCCTGCATATTCATATTCAACCTCCTTAACAACGTTTTCAAGGAAAAAGAAGTTTGGCTTGTATTGCAATTCAAACCTTTTATCAATCTTATCTGGAGATCAGATACCCCCTGCAGCATGATTCAGCTTCCAATATACATATATATAGAAAATAACTAAAAACAAACTACTACATTAGAACCATTTATCTACACTAGGGTTTTCATACGCAAGGTATATTGGGTAGAATAATATAACAGTAGCTGATTTGGTTATTAGACAAACATCAATACATATATATATATCACTGCACAAATTATTATGCACCCCCTGCCCCCCGCCATGGTCAGTTTACCGCGTTCACAGTCAGTCGGCTATAACCATGTAAAGACTTCAAAGTGAGATTTCTATAGAAAAAGGATACCCCCCCCCCCAACTCTATTTGACAAAATGGCCAAGCAACCGGCAGATTTTTATCTTTTGTGTTCTGAATAATTTGAAAGACTCACCTCAAATACCAATTTCTTCACACTACAAAAGCTTCATCATTTTCAAGCGCTTTTCATGCTCCGGATCAAGTTTTGGTGGGGTATAAGAGCCGTGAAGGTCCTCCACTATGTACTCCTGCAAAAGACCAATGTGAGATTTAAACAGTAGTAAAAGGCGCAAAGATATAATTATAAAGCTATCTAGCACAATGTTTACCTTAGTAAGCTCCCTCTTAGTAAGAACGTGGTAGTGTTTCTGCCAGATCCGCTGAATTGACATGGTGGCAGCTAGGAAACCGTAAGCTATCCCCAGAATGGCAAAGATCACAACGAAAATCATCACCAGTTCAAAGCATGCTTCCATAGCAGCAGGAAAGCAATCCAATATACCCCACCCATAACAGCAATTCTGGCATACAGCCATTCGCGGGTCATTGCTATTGAGGGAGGAGCAATCCAATATGAGACTGAAAAGTCCGAACAACACAAAGAAGACAAGCACCCCTGAGAAACATGGAAAACATTATGAGTTTATCATCTTACCACACAGAAATTGGCATATGCCGCTGAACTTATGCCTTAAACACTATCAATGTACAAAGCAATGTTTACCGGCAGCATAACTAGAAAAAGATTGGAGAAAATCAGGGAAGCTTAACTATGCAATAATAAAATGGAATAGGGTGGTTTGACAGTATTCGATCCCAACCATAACTGAATGACTTCCGGAAAGCCCCATCTTTATCCATGACATATGCGAAGCCTCCCATTGCAGATATCACCTGAAGAATAGATAAATCCAACATAGGATGACAATTTCAAGGGATGAACCAATCAGACAAGTTTGCTCTCAATCTTTCCGAGTTATGCATGACTAAAAACTTTGATAAGAAGATACTTGTATCAGCCTCTTCCAGTCTTCCAGGGTCACTTGATTAACTTTCCCCCTTCTTTTTCTCATAAATAGGAAGGCAATAGAAGTATGAAGTTTGTGGGGGGTTAGGTATTGTGATGAATTCATCTGAATGGTAGTGCTAAAATGAGGCTTCATGAATCCAACAACAAAATATAGATCAAAGTCAAAGGAATAAGAAATTGCAGGGTTTTCCAGAAGTTGGTGCCGCCTTAATACAACACGTAATCACCATATACAAATATCATAATCAGCAATAAAAGACAGATAAATGCAAAGAATAAAAGGTGGTAGACTAACATGCATGTAATGGCCATATTAGCCTGATGAATGTAAAAGTAGAAGCTTACAGTTTGTACAGCCAAGAACACAAGAAAGACATCTCTTGCCACAAAAAGTCTGAACTTTATTTTACGCCAAGAGTTGTCCTCAAACAATTCAACTCGAAGATGAAACTGAGTCATGCAAGTCGTGCAATGGGAGAAAGCAAATCCTTCATATCAAAAGAGGACGAAGAAGCTCACATTAGACCAGTTACTAACATATTCGATAACTGAACCTTCACATTCAGGTAGAGAAACCAGCTTAATTTACCTTTACCGAACGCCAATGATCAAGGCAAGCACGATGAACAAACTGCTGGGTGCCTTTGCACATACATGGAGATATTAGTTCATCATCTACAAAACAACAATCAGTTCAAGGTTTGAATATACATACCGATCATGTAAAATCATCCGTATGCCAAAACTCAATATCAAATATTTTAATATAACTACATTCGCAATTCACAAACTTAAGCTAAAAAATTAAGATCAATAATTAGAAACAAAAAGGAAAATCAAAGGACAGAATAAACCCTTACCTTCTTCACCATCGCATTCGAGGCAAATGCGGCAACAAGGAGCAGAACCATTCTCAATAGAGAAAATAATCTCAGTGACCAAAAATGCCTTATAATATACGAATTTAACCAACTTTTTTTGGATTTGCCAAAAATGACCAACAAATTCGCAACGCGAATTCCAATTTCGCAACCCAGTTTCCAATTTCGCAACGCGAATATGTAAATCGCATTGCGATTTTCCAAATTCGCGTTGCGATTTTCCAATTTCGCAACGCGATTGTCAAATTCGCAACGCGAAAGTCAAATTCGCAACACAGAAGTCAAATTCGCAACGCGAAAGTCAAATGTTTTTACGCGAAACACAATATTAATTTCGCAACACAAATGTAAACAGTATTATCGCAAATCATCTCTAACCTAAAACCCTAAAGCACAACTCAGTCTCATCTCCATCTCTCACTCTTTACGGCGACATCTGTCCCCATCTCCGACGAAATCTGTCCCCATTTCCGACGAAATCCGTCTATCTCCATCTTTCAGAGCAACCCTCACAACCATTCACGGTCAGAAATGGAAAATCAACCACCGAGGGTTAGTTTTTTAATTATTTTTATTTTGAAATTTTTGTATTATTATTAGATTAACCATTTCACTGAGATTGCTAAATTCATTCAGTTGCTGCCAATACTGCTAAACTGTTTAGTCTTTAACCATGTAAAGTTAGTATTTGTCTTTGTTTTGTCTTTTTGTTGAAGAAACCCTAAATCGTAACACCAAATTCGCAACGTGAAAATGAAAATCGCAGCGCGAAACTAAAATCGCGTTGCGATTTTCATTTTCGCATTGCGAATTTAAGTTTCAGAAACTTCTTTTATTCTGCAAATTGAAACTTGAATGAATTGCATTTCTTCAACAAAAAAAACAAAGACAAATACTAACTTCACAGTGTTGCTAATTTAAGTTTCAAGAATAAACTACTACTCTTTATGTTGTCTTTGAACCTGCACTAAACCTATATGTTGTCCTTTTAAATGTTTATATAAGTGCTTACTTCTGGAATGTTATCTGATGCATTTTGTGAACTATGATGGAATAATTACTTGGGTGAATACCGTGCTAGTTTGAAACATATTTGGCTTTGTTTTCACTGTTTAATATCATGTCTATTTATAGTGTATAATTTGTAGTTTTTGGTATATCTAACTTGGTATGTTTATTGTTTTTGTAGAAATTTTTTTCGGCTGCATTGACCTTAAGGAATAAATTAAGCCTAGCCACTAAAATTGCGTCGACGCTTACACCTCTACAAAGAAAATTGTTTGAGGATACTTGCTTCGGGCCATGGCTGAAAGTGCAACATACGGGTGGAGATGTTATGTTGACACATTTGTTTTTTCAGACCATGACTAACGATCTACCCGAGGGGGTACAACGTGGTGATGAGGAGATATGGTTTCATTTTCCTCCGGCACCGGCGTATACTTGTTTTGGGTGGGAGGAGTTTTGCTTAATCACCGGTCTACGCTTCGGACACGATGATGTAGGTCGGTACACTAGTCATATCGCCCGCCCGTCATGGTTATATCGGGTTTTTCCTGGGCTGGCAAAGTCGAAGCCGAGTATAATCGTCGACGACTTGAAGAGATTATTTGATAAAGATGGTTTTACTCGGATGGATGACATTGATGTTGTCCGAGTATGTCATTTATTACTTTTGCATGCCGGCTTTTTAGGCAAAGAGGGCAGACAACCAATCTCCGAGGACCTAATATTATTGGTAGAGGACCTAAATGCATGGAACCTGTTTCCGTGGGGTTCATATCTATGAAAGCTACCTGGAAGAAGTTGTCGTCTGCCTTTGAGGACCGAAAAAGTTTACGGGGCGATGGTTCTAAATACACTTTGACAGACTTTACTTGGGCCTTTAAGGTAAGAATTTCTATATAATGTTTCCAAAATTATAATTAATTATTTAACAATTACTAATGTTTGTGTATTATATTATTTTGTAGATTTGGATATTTGAGGCTTTCCCCAGCATACGGACATATGCGATAAAAAGATCAAATGATATTCCTAGGGCTATTACCTGGAAGAGGATCCGCATGTTGGATTGGGAAGATTTACTCCCATATACGACGATGAATGATGTAAGTTAACACAAATAATATATGGTATATATAAACAAGTTATTACTAGTACAAGTTTAACTTTGTTTGAGCTTTTATATTGTTAGGAGGCCAACTATCCATTACAGAGGCTGAGCTTGTCACTGATTGGTGGCAAGCTAGTAAGCGATTTTTTGATGGGACGGATGATGAGCACCCCCTATTTCGAGAGCCATCACCTGATCGGGCCGATTCTACAGCTCGACACCCAGAGCCATCACCTGATTGAGCCTCTTCTCCACCTCCACCATCACCTATTCCATCACATCATCGAGCCTCTTCTCCACCATCACCTCATGATAGGCGACCGACAAAGAGGCCACGACATTTATCTCCCTGCTCTCCACCTCCACGGGATGAGTTAGGGAAATTACGTGATGATGTCGGTGCTTTGCATCATGAGGTCGATACTTTACATGAAGATAATGGTGCATGGCGTGATGAGGTTCGATCTTTACGTGGTGAGGTGGATTTTTTACGCGATGACAATGGTGTGCTACATGGTGAGGTATCTAATTTACGTGATGAGGTTGCCGCTCTACGCGAGATTGTTTCATCGTTACAGAATGAGGTTCATACTCTACGCAATGAGGTAAATTTGTTTAATATTATACTAAAAATGCAAATAATATTTTTTCGGCATTATTTATTTACTGATTTATGAATTAATTATTTTCAGCGGCCCGATAAGGTAGATGTTTTACGTCAGGTTTTTCTTGTACGACGGGGTTCACGCATCAGACGTCGTGCACGTGCCATTACGTCTCTGTTCACCCCACTAGTGCCAATACTCCGTAAGAAGAAGCCCGATGCACCTATCATCATTCAAGAGGCACCTCCTATCGTTCAAGAGGCCCCTCTCATCATCGAAGAAGTCCCTCCCACCGTTCAAGAGGCCCCCGTCATCATTCAAGAGGTCCCGCCCGCCGTTCAAGAGCCTGATGCATATGGCGTCATATGTCGACATATTGATAAACCCCCTCGTGTGCCCGATATGATGGATGCAAGGCTTTCGTATGTGTTACCGGCTAGTACCATTCCTCAGCAGAAGAAGGAAACACTACCGGACACAATTACGGATAATACCCTTTGGGCTAAGACCGTAGTTGATTTTTATCTACATGAGCGGAGCAAGGGGTGTTATTCTGACCTATGCCAAATCGACGATGTTATTCATTTGTTTCTTGATCGGTCTTGGTGGGGTGTTTTATTAGGGGTTGAAGATAATGACTATCTCGAAGGGGTGGTAAGTCTTATATTCTTCTTATATTGCATTTTGATTAAATTTTTTTAAATTATTAATAAATTGACTAATATATTTATTTTTTTTATAAAACAACATATTGATGCATGGGTGTCACGTCTTCTAATAATAAGGAAATTGAAGAAAAGAGGCACTCGATGGACTATTATGCCGACGTCTTTTCACACAGCTCACTTGAAGGATCAGAGAGATGCTTCATATAAGTTGACTAATGGAAAAACTAAACTTTATCTTGCGTGGTGGGAGGTCGATAAGGTTAGTATTTTTTTTGAATATTTTAAAGGTTTTCATAAATTTTATTTGATGTGCACAATTATTTATGATTGCAGGTGTTTATACCTGTTTTGGAACATCGTCATTGGCTTCTCGTCGAGCTTCAGCTCCCATCCTTGAAGACAATGGTATATGACATCATGTTGAATTACATACCATTGTCTGATTTGAGAGATATTATTACAAAGGGATGGAGCGATCATTTGGCTAAATACTTGAACGCGATTGATTATTGGACAAATTCTGGAAACAAGAAAACCAAAGAAGTTCAAAATTACAATGATCAGAGATGAGACTGCGCCACAACAAATGCAGAGAGCCATAGGGGATTGTGGTCCTCTCGTATGCTTGTGCTTGGAACATTTGACGACAGGAAGTATACAGTATCTACCTCCCACAGATAGAGATAGAGCTGCAGTAGGCTTGTGGTTTCGACATTATATAGCCAGATCGATATATGCGAGACGCTGCCTACCTGCATCCGCGTGCTGAAAGTTGTACATAAACAATTGGTAAGTTTGAGCAAGTGTTGTTAACATATATACTCTTTAATTGGTTTGAAAAATATTTGGTTAAGTACCTAGAGTAATTTACTGTTTGTTGGTTTTAGATGTGTAGAAAGTGTTGTTTGAGCAAATGTTTGGTTTCTGCAGGTTAATCCTGAAGTGAGCTGCGTGAAATGTATTTGTGCATAAACAACAGTCTGGGGTACACTTTTTTTTCTTTGTTTAATTGAATTTTACATTGAAAGTTGATTTGTTTAATTGATGAGGAAATAAGATTTATTTTTTGATTAATTGATTTGTAAAAGTTGATTTGTTTAATTTGATTTGTAAATAAGAATTATTTTTTTGCTTGTTTAATTGATTTGTTATTTCTAAAAAATTCAATCTGCATTATGTTTGAAGGCAAAAAAGACATGTTGAAGGTACAAATTCGCAACGCGAAAGTCAAATTCGCAACGCGAAATAAGCGTTGCGATAGTCAAATTCGCAACGACGATTTTCGGTCTGTGAATTTGACTTTTGCGTTGATCGCAACATACAACATCAAGGTATATACAACATCAAACACATTCCAATCTATAAATACAAGCTAAGAACACCACAAAGTCCATGAAAAGCATCTAGGAAACACCTTTTAACAACGTTGTCAATTGAGTTTGCCCTATCAGATATGATTGTCAGATTACTAATAGGACCTATGTAATCCCTAAGATGTCCCATAAACCATGTCTATAAATCAGAGGTTTCAGATTTGCCAACCCCGTAAGCTATTGGCAATATCCCATTATTAGCATCCATGGCTACTGCTAATAAGTTTACTCCAAGGTATCGACCTTTCAAATGTGCTCCATCAACTATAATAACTGGGCGCATGCAAGTAATAAACGAACGAATCTACAAAATCATATACACAAGAAATATAATCATTTAAATGTGAAATGATTGCAACTAACAAAAATGAGTCAACAAAATTATAATTATTTACTAACCGCAGCACCAATGGAGATAAACAACAACTCAAAGCGTCCATCTCTATTTGTTTTGATATGAGTTACCGACCCATGATTTTTCAGCTTTAAATTATGACAATAAGTCGACAGTTGGGCAAACGATGCTTCTGGCGACCCCCTCAACAATTCCAAGGCATAACATTTGGCTCTCCAAGCTTGAGAATATGAGATACTAATCTTGAACCGAACATTCATGTCAGTCATAATTTCATGTCCCCGATATACCCTTCTATTCAAAAACATTAACTCAGCCAGAAAACCACCCAACACCTTTTTGTTTGCCTGTCCATGGTGAGAAAAAACTTGGGTTCTTGAACATGTATGTTTATCAATAAAAGTCCTAACTTGAAACATTTTGCAATCTTTTATCCTCTTTGCAATCATACGCCACGTACAGTTTTTGTCAATCATACACCTTGTTTCGAAACGATCTTTGCTTGATTTGTTAACTCTTAGTTGATAGCCATCTTCCACACATTTCGTATAGAAAGCTATCTTCAAGTATTCCTTTGTATTAAAACAATCATCTTTCTTGATACGAATAACTTTTGTGTAACAATCAACTGATATCTTTACCAACTCTTCTTCTGGTATCTGAAGTAACTCTGACATATTCCAGTTATACTCCCGTGGCATTTTCTTCTTTTTCCTTTCTTCGGGGACTTCTTCTTCTTCTTTTTCTTCTTCAAGGTTATATGAATTACAGAATGGATGTTCAACATGTTCATTCACGGTCGTAACTTCCTCCTAATTATCATCAACAACATCTTCCTCGGCAGCGGCTGTTTCATCATCAAAATTCGGGTATTGACCAATATCAAAATCATTACATGCATAGTCTGTTTCTTCTTCCATCACATCATCAAAATCCTAGTATTGACCAAGATCAAAGTCCGGGTATTGACCAAGATCAAATTTCGAATATTGACTAGTACTCACAATTTTTTCTGTTGGCTCATAATCGTCTAACTGGTCAATACGAAAACCGGAATTTGGTGCTGAAAGTTGATTGGGATTTGGATTAGGAAAAGGTTGTGGGTTTTGAGATTGTGTTTGATTTTGTTTTTGGTATTGGAAATGTGGTGAAACAAAATTTGCTTGGTGATGAAATTGTGGTGGAACCATTAAATTTTGGGTTGAAGAACTTAGTTGATTACTACCCGCTACTGACCCAACTTCACTACTTCTAGGTTCAACAACATACAATGTAACATCATCTTCTTGTGAAACACTAATGTAAGCAATGAATCGTTCAACATCTTCATTGTCGGTTAACAAATAAATTTTACATTTTCTCAGATAAGATAGTCTAAATCCACTTAGAGGCTCTAAATTCAATTTCTTTGCAACACGTAACATTAGAGTTTCATAAGTTAACTTTTTTAATGACAGTTTTAGTTGAAAATTCATGGGTAAAGGCGCATATTGTAAAACACCATGAACATTCTCCCATGACCCTCCAAAACACAAATCTATCCAAACATGATCAACATTAGATGATTTCATTCTAAAAATTATAAATTAATTTACTAAACAAACGGGCTATAAACTATATATCATCACTAACTTAGAGAAAAACATACCTTTATTAAGTTGATAGTTGATAATTTGGGAGAGAAATCATTGAAAAATTATATTGAAATAAAATTATGTAAAAAAAATATAGATGGGGAAGGATGTCGTTGGATATAGGAACGGATGTCGCCGGAGAGAGTGATAGATGGAGATGGAATGAGTTGCGATTTAGGGATTTAGGTTATGAGTTGTTGTTGCTGCGTTGTTATATACCCAAGACATTTGTGTTGCGAAACTAAAACCTGTTGCGAAATTAAATTCGCGTTGCGAATTTGAAATTCAGTTGCGAATTTGACTTTCGCGTTACGAATTTGACTATCGCGTTGTGAATTTGAAAAATCGCAACGCGAATTTGAAAAATCGCAATGCGATTTACATATTCGCGTTGCGAAATTGGAAACTGGGTTGCGAAATTGAAATTCGCGTTGCGAATTTGTTGGTCATTTTGACAAATTCAAAAAAAATTAATTAAATTCATATATTATAAGGTATTTTTGGTTACTGAGATTATTTTCTCTTCTCAATATTTTCACTCGTAATCTCACTCGAACTCTCCGGAGAAGATGGATCGATATGGTTTCCTAAAAGAGGATCAGAATCACTAGGGTTTCGAGTTTCTGCCGGCTCCAACTGCAATTCACCCTCCATTGGTGAATAAAGAAGAGAGAGAAACTAACCTACCTTGCCAAATATCAATGACCAAAATTCAGCAATCACGAATCGAACATAAAAATGATGCTCTAAAACAAAACCAAACATAAATCAACAGCTTTGAATCAATATAATATAAAATTTCGTGGAATAAAAATTGAGGTTCTTGCCCCGAGGAAACTTAAATTAGGGATAATTGCAAGTTCAAAACAATGGCGGATAAATGAAGGGGGGAAATTGTAAGTACCTCGGACTCTTTTCTTGGAATTTCTATCTTATTTTATAGTAAAATGGATAAATGGACAAAATCGGTTCCAACCAAAACTGGGTAAATTCTCTCTTAGTCCTTATGGTGATCGATTATAGTAAAAAGTTTCATATACACACTGGAGAATTTGAATCTAATTAAAAGGAAAATATATTCATTGCTCGTTTTGTAATACTTATGTGATGTACAAATTAATCTTATACATATCAATTAAAATCCATAAAATTTCACAAATGATATAATTAAGAATTTAAAGCTCAATTAAAATTCATTAGTGCTTCATCCAACAAATTGTTTTTACCCTTTGGACTTTATGATTAGAGGTTACTAATTGAAAGTAGAGTTCCCATTATTGTTGTCCAGTGAGGGTTTAATCTCATTCGTTTTATAGTACTACTACTCAAATAAAATTTATTTTTCTCTTACCGTAATTATAATGAACAACAGGTTCAATCTCTGATTCATAGGTTAATATGTTCAAACTTTTTACATCAGACCCTGCTTTTGTACATTGTTCCCTTTAATAAAAAATAATTGGCATCAATTATGACCACAACCCTTATTTCCATTAAAGTAAGTTCCAACCATTCTATTTCTCTAAGTCAACCTCTTAATTTATAAGATTACGAATAATTCTAATGGTAACAAGTTATCTAAACTCATTAATTTGTATCATTTAATAGTGTTCAATTGTACCAAACCTAATTACACTCGACTGGTGTTCTATGCTCTTAAGAGGCCGGCACGTTACCATGTGCAAAAATACAGTTTTATTTATTTATTAAGACATGTTTAATTCAAACATAAAGATGTCATGCATATCAATATGCTCCTTCATTCATCGATTCAATGTTCTATATATTTATTTATTTTTAATTAGAACCACAATTTTTCCCAGTCGGAAACCAAATAGCTTGCAATCAAAGAACTCTCTTCTATAGTCCAACTATTCGTACCACAAACAAATCTAAGTTGTTCATGAAATTCAAGTCTTCTACATGCAAATCTCTTAGGCAGCCTTGTCAAAGAAATCAGCCTTACAGTTTACATTGTCACTATATAAATCTGGAATTACATGTTCCATTTTCCCCCCAAACGAGTAGAGCAAAGCACAACAATGACAAAAAAAAACATTATTCACTTCCATAGTTTTCGTAAGGACATGTTTTTCTCAGTCTCCTTCTTCATCACCTTCGCCACAGCCATCTCGAAATCTTCCTGTGTTACATGGACTCTCCTTTCCCTCAAAGCAAACATCCCTGCTTCTGTGCAAACGGCCTGCCAAAAAAAGCACACGCCTACATTGGTAAGGTGTTCGATAAACCATATGGTCTTGCAGATGCAGAGCGTTCAGATTATCTATCTTGTGTACCAAAAACATCTTAAATATGTCCATAAATTTTGTTAACAGTCATCAAACAGACTCGTAGATGTTGTCAAATGACCTTAGCATTCATAATGAGATACCAAAATGCCAGACTGGGTCTAAGGGTTTTGTATTCTTTTACAGCATAATTGTATTAATAAGAGCCATGTAAGGCTACCAAAAGATGATATTCACATGTTGCCCACCATATTCGGATTGGAAATATATATTCTCTTTATCCAGAAACCAGACACAATTTAATTAATTATTGGCAAACATACCTTAAGCTCTGTACCAGAAGCACCGTTCATCTTCTCCGTGATCTTCTTTAGATCAACCCCCCGCATCAAATTCATTCTTCTAGAATGAATTTTTAGGATGTCCTGACGAGACTGCATACAATTGAATAGACGACATAAGTACCTGTCAAATAGCAAAGTATCGCATGCTCTCTAAAAAACTGAAAAATTCGAGTACGACAGTAGCAAAAATACTGACTGCCATTAAATGATAGCTCTATTAACTGCACTCTGCAGGTTCATAAATAACCGAAACAGGTGGCTAATAATGGCAGAAGAAGAATAACTACCTTAAAAATGTTTTCTTTACAACGATGTCTAAAATGACAGAACACATAATGCAATCAATGCCGTATGATCAAGAAGATGAATAACAAAATTTTGTTTTTGCAGTTCAAATGCAACCCTCTGCATGCCTTTTCTTCGTCAAACATGTATAGGAACAAGGTGACAATGAGGAAATCGACAATGGCACCAATGTGCTAGCAGGAACATAATAATTGTTAGATTTGTCTAGAAATTAAGTTGACAAGTTGGAAATTTCATCTTGATTGGTGGCCAACTTATTAGAAATTTCATCTTGGTTGGTGGCCAAACTTTGAACATGTGAATTTCATATTTGGTGGCTAACTTGTACACATTGGAAAATTCTTTGGTAGGTGGCCAAACTTTGAACATATTGTTCTTGAAACTCAACTATAAATAGACCTAAGTATTTCCATTAGAAATCATCCCAAAAACAAGTTATCTCTTCCTCTTGTATTCTTCATTCTCCCACTTTGGGAATTCTAAAGAATTCCATTTGTTGTAATATTGGTGATATAGTGAAATTATTATCCGGTGTGGTGCTCGAGGAGTAGACGATATTCTCGTCAAACCTCGTAAATTTGGTGTGTTCTCTCCTTTATTGTTTTTTATTCGGTTCTTTTCCATTGTGTTTCAATATTCAATAGTTTGACAGGTTTATCCGCTGTGCAACCTTTGGTGGTTTTAATCTTGACATTTTAGGTCAATTTTAAAACTACGTTCGTGTGGGAAATAACCCGTTTCCCCAACAATTGGCATCAGAGCTTCGGTTGAGGTTATCCTGGTGGTTCCGTTGCTAAAAAGATACAGTTCGTGATATTGAATATTGTTCGTTAGAATTAAAATGCCAAAATACGGATCAGTTGAGACATCAAGCTCTTCATCTGGACCGGTGAGGAGGGTGATGTCAAATGCAAATTTCTCGGTGGAGTTGTTTGATGGATCCGGTCATTTTGGCATGTGGCAAGGCGAGGTGTTAGACGCTTTATTCCAACAAGGTCTATACATCGCATTTGAGGAAGGAAAGCCCGAATATATGGAGGAGAAAGAATGGGGAACAATCAATCGTTTGGCGTGTAGCACGATTCAATCTTGTCTTTCCAGGGAGCAGAAGTATGGCTACAAGAACGAGACTTCTACAAGTAAGATGTGGAAAGCTTTGGAGGAAAAATTGCTGAAGAAAAGCTCTCAGAATCGTCTCCACATGAAGAAAAGATTGTTCAGATTTGATTATCAACCAGACACCAGTATGAATGAACACATCACTGCGTTCAATGAGCTAGTGGAAGACTTATTAGGCATGGATGAAACCTTCAAAGATGAAGATTTGGCTTTGATGTTGTTGTCATCTCTTCCAGATGAATTTGAGCACCTTGAGACAACGTTACTTCATGGTAAGGATAATGTTACCCTTAAAGATGTAACTGATGCTTTGTATAGTTATGAACTCAGGAAGAAACCCAAGAAGGAGAGCAAGCATGAAGCAGCGGAGTCCATGGTGGCAAGAGGTCGCTCGAAAAGTCAAAAGCCAAAGTGGAGAGGGAGATCAAAGTCGAAGTCTAGACTGGGAAAAGATGAATGTGCCTTTTGTCATGAGAAAGGTCATTGGAAGAAAGATTGTCCGAAGCTGAAGAAGAAAGAAAAAGCTGCTCCAGATGCATGTGTTGCAGAGCATGATGCACATGACTCTGACATATCATTGGTTGTTTCATCAACAACATTCCATTCCGATGAGTGGATATTAGATTCGGGTTGCACCTATCATATGTCCCCTAATCGGGAGTGATTATCCGATTTAGTGGAACTAAATGCAGGAGTTGTTTATATGGACAATGACAATGCCTGTAAAACTGTTGGGATAGGTTCAATTCGATTGAAGAATCAAGGTGGATCAACCAGAGTTCTGACGGATGTTCGATACTTGCCCAGTTTGAAGAAAAATCTCATCTCGTTGGGAGCCTTGGAATCCAAAGGCTCAGTAGTCACTATGAGAGATGGAGTTTTAAAAGTCACATATGGCGCACTTGTGATGATGAAGGGCATCAGGAAAAATAATTTGTATTACTACCAAGGTAGTACAATTATTGGAGCAGTTGCAGCAGCTTCCGGAGGTGATGATTTGGACGTAACCCAGTTGTGGCATATGCGGTTGAGACATGCTGGAGAGAAATCCTTGCAAATTTTGGCAAAGAAAGGATTGTTGAAAGGTGCAAAGGCTTGCAAATTGAATTTTTGCGAGCATTGTGTTCTGGGAAAGCAGAAGAGATTGAAGTTTGGCACCACTATACATAATACAAAAGGTATTGTAGATTATATTCACTCAGATGTATGGGGTCCTTCAAAGACATCGTCTTTAGGAGGAAACCATTATTTTATAACTTTTGTAGATAACTTTTCCAGAAGAGTTTGGGTGTATCCGATGAAGTCTAAAGATGAAGTGCTTCAAATTTTCCTGAAATGGAAAAATATGATCAAGAACCAGACTGGTAGAAAGATCAAACGTCTTAGGACGGACAATGGAGGGGAATATAAAAGTGACTCATTCTTTGACGTTTGCCATGAGTATGGTATTGTTCGACACTTCACTGTTAGACATACACCACAACAGAATGGGGTGGCAGAGCGTATGAATCGAACACTATTGGAGAAAGTTCGATGTATGTTGTCTAATGCTGGGTTAGGCAAGGCATTCTGGGCTGAGGCTATGACATATGTTGGCCATCTCATTAATCGTCTGCCGTCATCAGCGATAGGAGGAAAAACACCATTGGAGGTATGGTCTGGAAAACCTGCTACTGATTATGATTCCTTACATGTATTTGGATCCACTACTTATTATCATGTGAAGGAATCCAAGCTTGATCCGAGAGCAAAGAAGGCTCTCTTTATGAGAATCACCCATGGAGTGAAGGGATTCGCCTTTGGTGTTTAGACACCAAGAAGATAATTTTTAGCAGAGATGTTACCTTTGATGAATCTGCCCTAGTAAAGAAGGTAACAAGTGAAGCTGTCCAGACAAGTAGTACTCCGCAGCAGGTGGAGCATACTCCAAAACAGGTGGAGTTTCAGCAGATGATGATCCTAGAAGTTTATGCAGTTGATTCTCCAACTCCAATAGAAGAATCAGAAGATGGAGAGGTTCAAACCCAAGAACCATTGGAGACACCAGAAACACTTGCAGTTACAAGGCCAAGGAGAGAAATTCGTAGACCTGCTCGATTTGTTGATATGGTGGCCTATGCTCTTCCAGTTGTTGATGATGATATCCCTATCACTTACCAAGAAGCAATACAAAGCTTGGAAAGTGATAAGTGGAAAAGTGCCATGGATGAAGAAATGCAATCTCTCCAAAAGAACGACACTTGGAAACTGGCACAATTACCGAAAGGTAAAAGAGCCATTGGATGCAAGTGAGTATTTGTAAAGAAAGATGGATCTCATAACAAGAAAGATGTTCGCTACAAGGCACGGTTGGTAGCTAAAGGCTACACTCAAAAGGAGGGAATCGACTACAATGAAGTATTTTCCCCTGTTGTGAAGCATTCCTCCATTAGAATATTGTTGGCCTTGGTAGCACAGTTGAATTTGGAGCTAGCTCAACTTGATGTAAAGACGGCTTTCTTGCACGGTGATTTAGAAGAGGAGATCTATATGACACAGCCAGAAGGATACAAAGATGGTGGTTGTGAGAAATGGGTTTGTAAGCTGAACAAATCGCTATATGGATTGAAGCAATCTCCGAGGCAGTGGTACAAGCGATTTGATAGCTTTATGAGGAGGCAAAAGTATACTAGAAGCAAATATGATCATTGTGTGTATTTGCAAAAGCTCAAAGATGGATCTTTCATTTATCTTCTCTTGTACGTTGACGATATGTTGATCGCTTCGAAGAGTCAAAAGGAGATAGACAAATTAAAGGCTTAGTTGAATCAAGAGTTTGAGATGAAAGATCTAGGTGAGGCCAAGAAGATTCTTGGTATGGAGATAAGCAGAGATAGACAGAGAGGGAAGCTTTGTTTAACACAGAAGCAGTATCTGAGAAAGGTATTACAATGTTTTGGCATGAATGAAAATACCAAACATGTAAGTATCCCATTGGCTTCTCATTTGAAACTTAGTTCTCAATTATCTCCTAAAACTAACGAAGAACGAGTGTATATGGCAAAAGTTTCATATGCTAATGCAGTTGGGAGCTTGATGTATGCAATGGTGTGTACGCGTCCTGACATTTCACAAGCAATTGGAGTTGTGAGAAGGTACATGCATGATCCTGGAGAAGGACATTGACAAGCTGTGAAATGGATTCTACGGTATCTCCAACAAACCGTGGATGTTGGTTTAGTTTTTGAACAGGATGAAGCACTTGGTCAGTGTATGGTTGGATATGTTGATTCCGATTATGCTGGTGATTTGGATAAGCGTCGATCAACTACTGGATATTTGTTTACTCTTGCTAAAGCCCAGTAAGTTGGAAGTCTACATTGCAATCTACGGTGGCCTTGTCTACTACAGAGGCATAATACATGGCAGTTTCAGAGGCTGTAAAGGAAGCAATTTGGCTTAACGGGTTGATGGAAGACTTGGGAGTTGTTCAAAGTCACATTAGTCTCTATTGTGACAGTCAGAGCGCTATTCACTTAGCGAAAAATCAAGTCTACCATTCAAGGACTAAGCATATCGACGTGAGGTATCACTTTGTGCGGGAGATCTTTGAAGAAGGAAAGATTCTACTTCAGAAAATTGCGACATCAGAAAATCCTGCAGATATGATGACCAAGGTGGTAACAGTAATCAAGTTCAATCATTGTTTGAACTTGATTAACATCCTGAAAGTATGAACATCTTCGGGTGTGTGGCGCTTGTGAGCGCAATTAGAGGCACTATAAATTTGGGGAGTTGAAGAAGTTGAGTAGGCTTGGTAATTTCAAGCCAAGGTGAAGATTTGTTAGATTTGTCTAGAAATTAAGTTGACAAGTTGGAAATTTCATCTTGGTTGGTGGCCAACTTATCGGAAAATTTCATCTTGGTTGGTGGCCAAACTTTGAACATGTGAATTTCATATTTGGTGGCTAACTTGTACACATTGGAAAATTCTTTGGTAGGTGGCCAAACTTTGAACATATTGTTCTTGAAACTCAACTATAAATAGACCTAAGTATTTCCATTAGAAATCATCCCAAAAACAAGTTCTCTCTTCCTCTTGTATTCTTCATTCTCCCACTTTGGGAATTCCAAAGAATTCCATTTGTTGTAATATTGGCGATAAAGTGAAGTTATCATCCGGTGTGGTGCCCGAGGAGTAGACGATATTCTCGTCGAACCTCGTAAATTTGGTGTGTTCTCTCCTTTATTGTTTTTTATTTGCTTCTTTTCCATTGTGTTTCAATATTCAATAGTTTGACAGGTTTATCCGCTGTGCAACCTTTGGTGGTTTTAATCTTGACATTTTAGGTCAATTTTAAAACTACGTTCGTGTGGGAAATAACCCGTTTCCCCAACAATAATGGCCACTAATGCATGTACCTCCTCATTCGGATTTGGAAACTCAATCTTCCTGTCAATTCGTCCTGGCCTAAGAAGTGCTTGATCCAAGATACCAATCCGATTTGTAGCCATCAGAACCTGTTCATCAATGCACCTAAGTAGGTAAAGGAAGCAACAAAAAATAATTGTCGGCAAATTAAAACAGTGTTTCCTAATTCAGTAGATTAGTATCCAGTGAAGTAATTAATATCTTGATCTTGTTAGATGCTTCGAATCCATCAAGCTGGTTGAGAAGCTCCAACATGGTCCTCTGCACCTCACTATCACCATTGCCACTTCCAGATTCCATTTGTGCAGATCCAATACTATCTATCTCATCCATAAATATGATTGATGGAGCATGCTCCCTAGATAGGCGAGAGTACGGAGAAGAAACAACTTTTGTAAACAAAGAAATATAAACTAAAGTATAACAGCATGGCAGATAATCAGACAGAAGCAGCTCTACTTTGTGTTTCATGCTACATAAGATCACGCCATTGGCTAATGACTAATAATAGATGACAAGTAACTATCTACAAATTTAAAAAAAAATATTTTCCTCATCACACTCAAAAACAAAAAGGGTTTTGAAATCAATTTTGTAAATTAATACCTTGCAAGTATATGTAACATGTTTTGCTTTGCATTTATTTAAATTATGAAGAACAATGAAAGAATAAGAACAAACCTGGCCATAACAAAAAGTTCTCTAACCATTCGAGAGCCTTCTCCAATGTATTTCTGAACTAATTCAGAACCAGAAACCCTGATGAAAGTACAATCAGTATGATGGACCACAGCTCTAGCCAGTAAAGTTTTTCCTGTACCAGGCGGTTCAGACAACAGGACACCCTATAATTTATAACAGGGTGCAAGATTTAATCTTAGAAAGTTATTGTTATCACATGAGAAACAAATCCACAAAATGCCAGGAGCTGTTAGCACGATGTGGCTCACCATTAAGTTTATAGTTAGCAGGTAGGTCAGCAATCCCTTCTAGAGGATTTGTATCATATGATATATAGTTCAATTCAGAAAATAAGTTTCGGTTTTTTAATTCATTTTTCGTTGGTAAGGCTGATTGTTTTGGAAAATAGCTGAAGCACACCAATGAATTTGAGATTGTAGTTCTAATTCAGGGTTTTACTGACTGATCCCTCAGGGTTACTCTTCCCTTTGATATTGAAATGGAATAGATTTTTTGTTCATTTTGGATTTAAATTTCCAAGCTATTCATTCCACTGGATTATTTCCTAATCTTGCTTTCCATTTTCCTTTTGTGCTCTGAAGAATTGGATTATTACCTAACACACATGTATCATATTTATATATAAAATAATCTTAAATCCGAATGCATTTGACGTCTCTTGAAATTACCTCGCGCAGAATTCATGTCAACTTGATGAATTAGAACTCTAGAAGTGGTATTTTTCTTTTAAAAATATTATGTTAACATTTTAACTGCAGTAGACAACTATTTAGACTAACTTATGATAATAGAAAATTAAAGGGATCAAAATCATGATTTGACCAAATCAAAGCAAGTGGATTTATTCGCAATTTCAAACATAATAGAAGGACCAAAATCATAATTTGACCAAATATAAGAACCTACAAAAATAATCCAATGTTTATATATATACACAATGCTGATAAGAGTAGTCAATCTTCTTGTCTAATGTTAAGCCTTCTAAGCCATATTGAATGAAGCACCATATGAAGGAGATCAAACGGTTTAGCCGGCCTATTTAGCTCAAAATGCCTTCTCACTTTCAGCACCCTCTTCTGCATTCTCCGATATTTCTTTTCCGGTATCCCTTTTAGAATCCTCTTAATCTCCGACACCCTCTCCACCGGAATCTCGACCGAGAATTTTCTCCAGTCAAGCACATCGCTAAACGGCAGCACATAACTATCCGATATGATCACCGGAACACATGCTGCATAAAACGACTCCACCAATCTAGGACTAGCCACTTCAAACCCACTCGGACACAAGCAAAACTTGCTCTTCCCCATTAATTTATTGTAATCTTGGCCTTTAGAAAGGTAACCGTGGACTTGGACTTCATCATCTTTGTCCTTCCAATGGTAAAGCAAGCTTTTACGAATGTCTCCGTGGCCACCGCCCGCAAAGAAGGCTAGGATGGTTCGGTTGTTGGGTGGTAGGCCGAACCGCTGGTGACGACTGAACCCACGAGGAGGTAAGTTTAACTCCGGCAATGATACGTCTCTCTTGAGATGAAATCCTTCAGAGCTATTGGCATTACATAGCACCCTTATTAAATTATTGTAAAGTCCAGGGTCCGGCACAGAAACTTCCGGGGCCTATAATGTTACCACTAACATAGTTATATTATGTACTATGTTACATTTAGAATATTTGAATTTGATTTATTTGATAATTCGAGTTTAACTTAAAGATCAAATAACGTACCCAATCATGACAAGAGAGCATGAAATGATCAGCACCATGGGATCGATTCCAAAAGGGGTACTTGTTGGCAACAACTTTGATGTAATCGGTGAAGATCCTCACCAGACGCTCACGGTCGTAAGTGGTGATCGGCATATAGACGTATTTCACAATATAGGCTACGCTAACCGGCAAGAAGAACGCATGGGCCTCGTTGGGATGACGAGCGAAGAACGAGCTTTTTTCACTCTCGATTTCGGATATGAATTGCCCCTCGATTGCATATATGTGTTTCATTGGCCCCATGTGGACTAAGGGCATTTCTCCTTCTTTGTAAACCCATATTTTGAACCTCTTTATCATCTCTATGTGACTCCTGAAAATTCAATCCAAAATTACAAAGACAAATACAACGCCATAAGTATATACATTTTCATATTCTTTACCAGGCATAAGCATATAAACCCCGGGATTCGAATATTAAAATTGTAAATAAAAAAAATTAAGTTAGAAGGATTATATTATTATTAACTTTTATAATAAGAAAAATAGTCTTGAAATATATTGAAGCCAATATGCATGCCATGTTACTACTCATTATACTGTAGAAACTTGCTTATATCACGATAATACTAATTTATGTTATTCGAATTTAAAATTTTGTGAATTAATATTTTTATAAATATTTTCATGTATAAAATATCGATATTTTACGAAAAATGAAAGAATTCTTATTATAAATTAAAAAAAAAAGCATTGAAAAGTTTGAATATCAGGAGTTCCTTAACTGATGGAAAGCGTATGGATTTCTATAAACGGAGCCTCTGGGGACGAAGGTTTCCTCCTTGCCTGATGTATAATTCCTTGTCCGAATCGCTTCCAGTATCGCCGCTCGTGCGTCGGCTAACTCCGCTTCGACTCTGCTCACCTTCTACTCTCGAAATCAAAAGCAATGCATTACGAAAATGGGAATTAATAACATCAGAAAAATCTCATACATGAACTTACTTTGATATACGTAACAACGTTGACGGTTGTTACAGAAGGGGAAAGCGAGGGTGTTTGGTTGGTGGGAAACAAAGGGAAACGGCGGATAGATTTTCCTGGTAAACCGAGGGAAAACAAAGGAGGATAACCGTAACAATAAGGAATACTGGAAAAAGAAGAAGTGTTATTGAAGAGCTTCTTAAGCCTTCCATGGCTGTTTCTCTTCTCTTCAGTTATTGTGTTGATGCTTATATATAACAATGCTTAAGTTTAATTATAAATTAATGATATTTTAATTGTTGGGGGTATGTAAGAAGTTGTCCAACTAAGCTTTGCCAACTCTTAATGGCATAATTCTTCTTTTGGTAAGAAAGATTTCATAAATCTTCAAATTAATGGTTGATGATTGGATTATTAAATTAAGATTTGCTTATGTTCATCATATTCCGAATTCTATATATATTCTAATAAATACTACTTACTACTAATATTCTTTTTCTCCTTTCATGATTATTGATTTAATTTATGTTTTTTAAAGTTTTTTTTTGGATTAAATAAAAAATTGTAGTTTTCAAATGATAAGAGGTTTGTTAATTATGTAACGTTTTGATGTTTATCTATGGTGAAAATAAAGGGTGTACATTTACATCATTTCCTTTTCTTTTTGGACTACACATTTCTAATATGACAAAAAGCTTATATGAATTGTTTATTAAGCATCAAACCCTAAAATTTTTATATTAAACATTTTTGTTTATTTATTTAAGTAAAAGGCACCAAAATGATGCATTAAAATTATAGATCAAAAAAATTAATATACCTTGTTAGGGTATAATAAATCATACATATATATTATTAGTTCATTAAAAATATAATATCTTTAGCTATTTTAAAATATTATTAATCATATATTCTAATATGATTCACTAATAGCATATAAATTTATTTATCACCAATACATCAAATACAAATGAATTAACAAATTAATAAATCACAATTTTACAAATATATTTGAATGAAGAAAGCTCAACTTAATTTTCCTCATTTCACCAACAAATGAAACAATTGAGAAAAATAATACATAAATTTCAAGTATAAATGAATATCACTCGACAACCGTTTAACAGCTATGGCCATTGCGCCAGTCCATAAATACAAGAGAAGCACCATAATGAGCCAATGCACCCATCACTACCAGGACGTGGAATATTTGGTGGCTATGGCCGGCTAAGTCAAACCATCCGGGCTTGAACCGCTCCGGGATTCGGCTAACGTAGAACAGGGTCCCCATCAAATAGAACATAGCCATTGCCAACTCGTAGGCCAGGGTAACATTGCGGTGTGGATTAGACCAGTTGATGATTACGGCATGGATACCGGGGATAATGCCGAAGAGCGCCATGGAAGAGAAGAGTAAAGCTCGAAACCCTCGGAATTTCTTGGTCGACAAGGCAGGTGATAGCATTGTCACAATGGTAAACAAGCCTAGACCCATGTTCGCACCGAGGTGGATGAATTGCCATTTCGTGTCACATGGGAAAGCGTAATAGATTGGTGGGAAAAACGACGTGACGATCATGGTGGTGATCCCAGTGAAGTCGAGTCGCAACAGCGACACGCTGAGATGGTGCGAGTGGCAAGAAAAGAGGTGGCAAATGCTACTAGATAGGAGGCAGAACATGGTGCCGGCTAAGAATACGAAGAACGGTCACCGCGTTACGGGCGTAATGTCTGATTCTGGCTTCAAATCGACGAGATTCATTGTTCTCTGCAATTCTCAAAGTCAGGCTACTGTGTAAAACTAAGCAACTTGCAGAGTGATGAATGTAATCTATGCATAAATTGCACTTACCACAAAGAGGTCTCGAGAATGATGAGAAACATTGATGTCTCCATTCACAGGTAAGACCTGCATCAATTTTATATCATAAATTCTTTGCACATATACATACACATACACATACATAGACCTTAAACGAACCTGGTAAAGAAGGCAATGAGATCAGACACCTGTGGGACTTCAATCAAATTCGTCAATGTTAATCCCAGAAATAGAACAAACCCAAGTAAATGCCTGCAGAATTCATCACAAAAACCAGAATCAAATTAGAAGAAAAAAATATAAATAAAAATCAAAACAAAAGACCATAAGAAAATGAAACTCTGGGTTTGTGTCTTTAGCTTCGACGTACGTCCAAACATTAAGTGTTTCGTTATGCCAACGAAAGATGCTAAAGAGTGCTTCTTTGAGGGGCAAGTTAACCTTATAGTGATTAAGAATAAACTCATTGTCCTTCATGTAGTCCGGCAACTCCTTGAACGACACCAAATTATACGACGGCGACGGCGATCGCACTCTTTTCTTGCATTTTTCCGTCTCAACAGGCTCGGAAACAAGATTGGAATCGATGGTCGGATCCATATTTCTTGGGGTTTCCTCTCCTCCAAACAACAACAGCTAAAACTAACAGCTCGACGATGATCTAAAAGACTGCAACGACAAGAGTTATGAGCAAAAACCCTCGGGGAGAGGTATTTATATAAAAGGAGAGCTTGAAATCGAAAGTCGGATGATAGATGAAGAGAAAGCAAGAGCTAGCGTTTTGGTATTTAGTTTGTCGTTTGAAAGGGTTATTATTTAGGTGTCGTTTGGAGGATGGCAGATAGCTTAACTGCACCAACTACAAGGACCAACTACAAGGAATGGAAGAGGAAACAATGCATCATGTTTATAAAACACACAGCTTACCTATAACTTCATTAATTTGGTTTTTTTATATTCATATTCAATATTATATTTATGCATGATCTAATTGTATTTTATTCCTCTATTTACAAAGATTAAAATATAAATATCTTAACTTTAAATTATCATAAATTAGTCATCATGTGATACAAACTCTAAAAAGTTAATCTAATCAAAATCAACAGTTGAATAATTTATATGTGAAAGAAGTAAAATCAAGAATTAAACTCCACGTGTATTAAAAATGGGGAAACTTTTTACAAATTTCATAATAATAAGGACCTAATTATGTAGATGAACTAACTAATTAATTTTAGAATTAAAATTGTATACGTATGGGCGTGTATGTTATAATTTGGATAGAAAGCATGTAGTAGGTAGGTAGCCCAGTAAGTATGGCGACGTCTTTCTATATTTAGGGATGAAGTTAAATAATGGAAAACATTCCTGGATAAATAAACCGCCCTTTAAGTGGTACAATTTTCAACTCAAGCAAAACAAATTTAAAAGGTTTCCCCTTCATTGTGTGCCCTTTGCTTTCAAGCATTCATTTAAGTCGTGAATTTTCACACGCGTGAATTACATTTACCCATTCTTGAATTTCTTACACTTTAAAAAAAATAACTGCTTCATGTTTAATATATATATACGTCATATTTGTTTTATTAAACATATTCACACCTCGTAATTATGTTTCTCAAGTAGTACATATATATTATTAAAATTATAAAGGCGTGTAATTTTAGTCTTAATATTTTGAATTTAAACATATATTCTTTTAAATTACAAGTAAATTTCATTAAAAAAAGAATGTAGTTTCGCATTTAGACCTAATTCATTAAAAATTGTCAAACTAATTTTTAACAAAATATTAAAGTTAATGGATAGAAGGTTTATAGATATTATAAAGATATGTAAGTTTAGCCAATCGATCGCTTTAAGGAAGAGGTTTCTAGTTTTAAAGTTTTAACCTCCGAGTCTTATTGAGCGTGGATTTTGCTTAATTAAGTTTTTAAGGTTAAATTTGGTCAATAATCGCTGATTTATTTGCTTCATTAAAAGTTATATCATTTTTTTAGTTTTATATTCAATGAATAACTAATATATTTGAATTGAATTTTAAAATTTATTTTATCATATCAAATATAAATGTATATTATTTCGTGAAGGACATTACACATCATCATTTAATTTAAAAAAATAATTTATAATTACATTAAACTCAATTAAACTAATAAACTATTCATGAGTATATGATTTACATTGACCAAATTTAATTTTATTACGATTATTGTAGATGTAACATATACGAAGACGTGATGTTGAACATTTTGTATAAACAAGTTCAGAGACAAACGTGAAATATTTTCTTGAACTAAACCATAATCCGATCTAATCCAACGTATAAACAAGTTCATCCCATATATTAAGCTTGTATGTCGATATTCGATCCGATCCCTGCAAAAACATCCGTATAAACAACTTGCATGTCAATATCCGAATTGGTATTAAACAGATTATTGTGATCATAAGAACCCTGGCAAATACAGGCATCCAAATTCCAAACATCTTTAATAATACAACAGCCAATGCAATTCGAGTTCAACGGCTGCTGTTTGAACTTACTGGCTGCAATATCAAACAGCAAAATAACACTGTGAGGGAATGTACAAGTCCCGGGGGTATAAATTTAGAATGGTTTAAGATGTTTCAGGGTGAAGAAGAAAAGAAAAGAAAAGAAAAAGCCAACAGCCTTGTAAAGTCCATGGCTTAAAGATTATGTTTATGAGCCGGAGAAGGACAGAGATGCGATAGCTCTGATCGGAGGCAAGGCTGTGAAGTTCTTAGCTTTTAAGTAGATTCTCCAAGGAATCACGGATGTCAGAGCTTGTGCAATCTTGGGATGTCTGAAGAATGTTGGGGCTGTCGACCGGCATGACATCAGAGAGTGGATAATTTCTGTTGGCGAGCAGTTGATTGCTTGTATTGCTGCAGGTTCCCTTCAATACTACGGATTTATGCACCCCACCAAGCAACCCTTCATAATCTGTATCCCCAGAGTCTCCAGCGAAAACCACCATCTTCGACAGGTCGATGCCCCACCGAACAAACAAATACCTGACATTTGTGTTTCGGGTGTCAATTGAATTGAAACATGGCTAAACAGGATAAATTTAAGAACTGCCAATCAAAGCCCTCAATGATCAACGAAGAAAACCAACTTTTAAAGCTAAAAAAATAACAAAAAAGGCCCGAAGAAGATCGGAGAATTAAAAGAAGTCCAAGCACATGCACCTAAAACATTTAAAATCAGGTTTTGTTAATCCAATATATCATAGATATCAGATCAATCATCTAATTCAAACAGAGTTAAAATTTCACAAAATTCAGTTGGCTACTGCACTGGAAAAATATTGATGAAAATAAACTTAGACTTGAGAGTGAGTGTTGGACAAGGATATATGGCCAATAAGGATATGTTCGATTTTTTCCAAGTTTTTCTATATATTTCCAGGGTCTTTGAGGGTCAATGTACTCTATCAATGTCCAAATATGCCAAACAAGGGTTATACAAGCAACATGGTCTGTTGGTAGAGTATTTGACTATTAGTTCCAGTGACAGGGAATCAAACCTCGGCAACCTTAATTATCAAAATGAAAAAGGAACCATTATAAAAATAAATAGTAAAAGGAACATAAAACTCCACCTGAGAGCTTGGGAACGAGATGCCAAAACCGGAATCACATTTATCCTAGTTCCATTTCGGCAATAAATAACATTGCAACGGAGAGCTTGAATTCTCAACAACTTTCGGAGCTCCTTAACAGGGGGAACCTGAAAAGAGCATAAAAATAAATGTAGAACTTCAATTCTTAATTGATTAGAAATTCACTTACTTGTAGCCAGAAGTATAATGAAATAAATTTTACCATTCCTGCATTTTTCACTTCAAAAGCATAACAGTAATTGGTTGAAAGTTGTTCAGCTGAAGTTACAATGTGTTCTTCATTCCCTGCCTTCTTATCAGTAACTGATCCGGCCCAACGGAGCAAAGTCTTTCTCAATCCTTCCCCACCCCAACGATATTCAATGTGTGAATGGTAATAGAAGTCAACTACGAAGGGACCATCTTCAGGATTAATGGTTGAATAGAAGAGATCACTACCGCTATTGCAGATGAAAGCATCAAATCATTAGCATTCAAACCTCCAGAGACCAGAAAAGAATGTATCTCAGATATTGTCATGAATGTTGACAATATAAAACCTATTGAGCCTTCAATCCTTTCTTTTTCAACAGCCTCAAAAATCTTTCTGATGGCATCAAGAAGATCTTCATTGGAATCAGAGTCCACAGCAATGACAAAGATGTGTTTCCTCCTCCTCAATGCTGGAAACTTTACTGTGCTGGAGCTATGCTCAACTTTGTCTCCAGATCCAGCTTTCCTTTGATCTTTTATAACACCTCTTGACCAAGATAAAACGGCATTCTCCAACTTACTATTTCTGTCAGAATTTCCTTCAGAATCTAAAGAATTATCATTTCCACTAGCTCCACTCCTATCCCCATCCATAGAAAACTTCAGGTTCAAAGAAATATCATGTATATCTCTCAGGAATCACTTGTGAATCTGATTCTGAACTGTCACCTCCATCATTACTCCTCTGCCACTGTGGATGCCTTGGTTTGCAGCTCGCAATTCGAGATAAGTAAGTTTTACAGTGCTCTGGCCATGAAAATAGGTGAATGTTCTTCAAACCATTTTGGCGACATCTTGCCCAGAGATGCTTGTCTGCAACAAGCTTTAGAAGAGCATCGGCAATAGACTGCTGATCATGAGGATCAACAAGAAGACCATTGTCAAGCACCTGCAAACATCCCATAGATTATCAACACTGTGATTCAAACTTAGGATTCTCGCAAATGCTTGTCGATTCTCTCATGTAAAGCAAAAACATTATGTTGATGAGTCATACCCGATGTATGTCGACAGGACCTCCATTTTGGTGGCAACAATCGGCAAACCATGAGCTGCAGCCTGCAACAAAAGAGACAACTTCATAAATGGTTTGGAAATAACATGAAATAACACTATTTAAACCTATCTGGAAGAGCACCTCGATCAAAGTAAGCCCAAATGGTTCGATAAAGCAGGATTGATGAAACACCCTGCACAAGAAAATTGGATTAGAAACAGATGTATGCAAATAATATTGAGAGAAAGAAAGAGTTATGGAAAATTAGAACAATTTTAGGAGATATTGAGGGCGAGACATAGAAGCCAAAGGATCAACACGAAAATTAGATACCCAAACCAAGTGTCTCAATGATAATAACAAAATAATCCCAAGTCATATCCCTCCAGAACAAAGGCAAAAGGACAGAAATTTAACAATTTAAAAATCAATGTTCTACATATATATCAAAAAAGAAAGGAAGTGTTTTAAGACAAGCACTAATTGGACATAGATAACAACTGCAACTGCAACTGCAACTACATATTCCTTTCAAAAATAAGATTTAGAATATGAGTAGAACCAGTACAACACATTTTGGCACTTGGAACTCGGCAAGAGTTTGAACAAGAAAGATACCAAATAGGAAATGTAAGTTCAAAGCTTGCACACTGCAATGGAAGTGGACCAAAACATCAAGCCATCTATGAAAATAATGTAAAAGAAAAAGGTAC